TCCACCCTTTCACTGCCGAAACAGTTAAATATACCCGTCTCTTCTACTCCAACAGCTTCTTCTCTCGCACTTCCCAACAGTGGAACTCCCTTCCTCTTACTCGCTTCCCTGATATCTATAATCAAATATTCAAACGTAATGTCAATCGACATCTTCTGATGCCTTGATTTTAATTCCCGTCCTTCTCTTTATCTTTTCCTCAAACACTCTCACTTTCATTCTCTGTAACACCTTGCGAGTTAGTGGCACTCCCGCCTTGTTTGAGGTGAAATGCTTAAAAAAATAACCAATCTAATAAATAAATAGTATTTATTTTTGTTGTTGTCTATTCTCAAGAACAAAGAAAATGTATAAATTCACTTTTATATGTTTAGGTTTTACTACAATTCTAAACATCACTTTTTAAAATAATAGATATTATCGAGGAGTGAAGGTAGTTAAAATAATAGCGGTGTCAAGGGAAAAATTGTCCTTTTGACATATCATTTTTTTCACGGGCACGAAGGTTAAATATTCCGAAAATAAGTATTATCAAGGTCCCGAGGTACTTTAGGTGATATTTTTGCTGCTACTACCCTATTCTATCAGGATAGACTAACGGACCAGATATTCCGTTCGGCCAGAGAGATCTCCGACTATCCTTTTGTCCATCTCTAACTGCAACTGTCACTACATCTCAACTCTCTGTATACCTCAGTTCGCAGCTATCTATACTGACGACACAATTATTTATTCCTGACTTAACAGTAATTCTGAACAGTTCGGTAAGGTCTAGTTGGAAACTGATCTAAAAAATGACCTACAATCTGTTGGGCAAGGAATTGCTTGTTAATTTTAACGCCACCAAAATGAAACTTCTCTTTTTTAATCGTCTGAGAGAACTGTTATAGTCCGGTTCCTTGTACCACGGTGATAGTCCAAGGTAGAACCAATAAAGAAGAACTCGAACACGGGTATGGAATAACACAGATACATTACAAACAGGAATATATACAAAGAGGTAGAAAAGTGTTAGTACGAACAATCAGGTTTAGTAATACTTGTCTGAACGTGACTCTGTATAATATGCTTATCAACTCCTACGATGCTTCTGATATACGCGTACACATTTAGTGGTACGTATATATGGCTTGAAAGATGGCCGATGTCCTGAAGATTGTGTTCAAGTATGAAGTAGACTCGCGCCACTCAGTATTGGCATCAGTGTCTACTTATATACTTACTGTTATGGTCCGGTTCCTTGTATCACGGTGATAGTCCAAGGTAGAACCAATAAAGAAGAACTCGAACACAGGTATAGAATAACTCAGATATATTACAAACAGGAATATATACAGAGAAGTAGAAGTGTTAGTATGATCAATCAGGTTTAGTAGAGAGAACAATGTAATCTCGACCAGTAGCACTATTCCAATGTCTTGCAGTAATTGTCTGAACGCGACTCTGTTTCGGACTGCCTCTGACTCGACTTTTTAACGTGGGAAGGGTCTATTAAGGTTTAGATAAGAATGGTGAATCTAGGACTTTTGCTTTGAATATCTCGAAGGCATTTGAAACGGTTTGCCATGTTGACCTTCTTAACAAGTTGCATGTTTATAGCATTTCTGGACCAATTTTTTAAATAGTTCAATCTTTCTTCTCAGATCGCGAAATGAACGTTATCCTGAATTTTCCATCGTCTAGATATTTATGCACTACTGTAAGTGAACCCCAGGACTCTATCCTTGGACCTACGCAGCTTCCTTATATCATCTGTCCTCAAATCAGTATCTATGCTGATGACACAATTATTTACTCTTGTCTTAATAGTAAGTCAGAACGAATCAATAATGTCAATTTGATAGCTAACCTAAAAATAATTTACAATCGGTTGTTAAATGGGAAGAAGTGTAGTTAGTTAGTTTTAGCGCCTCCAAAACGAAAATGCTTTCTTTTGATTGTGTGAGAGAACCCTCTTTTGTCTTCTGTCAGCAAGGCTGATGCTAACCACTTGATGAGAAACTCCTTATGCTTTCTCAGTCTCTCGTTTTACATTGACATGAAGTGGAAAGATTATAGTAAACCAAGTTCTTGTTCTGCTGCTAGGAAATTGGGTTCATTGTGTCGTTCTAGACCTTTTTTCTCGCCAGAATCTGTCTTACACATTTACAAGGCTATCATTCGTCCAGGCATTAAAATGATAAAAAAAACCCCTCCGTTACTCACTAACGGCCAACTTCTTTCTAACCTCTGTCTCGTCACACTCTATGGGCAGCTCGCAGCTGATTTATTTAACTGTGACTCAAACCTACAACCGGAACTCACTGCCTTCCGGTCGAGTGGCAGATTTCCCGAAAGTTTTTATCCATTTATTATTCTTTCTACACATATGGACAGCGGGCAGCTGCTTTGAAGTTTTATTTCTAGTTTTTACTATCAACACAATCATAAAACTCGTCTCTGATGAGATCATTTACATTTTTCGAAGCCACCGTCGTGTTCTCTTGTACCACACCCTTATATCAGTTCTTGGTGAGGGTATAGACATGTCTGAAAGTTAGATGACAGAGTTTGCTCATTATAATATATGTTGCCTGTTCAGAAGAAAACGATCTCTTTTTTATGCGTTTGGGAGTAGATGAGAGTGATGTGCCACACCTTGGAGTAATGATTAGCAAGTTAGTTAATTAGACACTTATTGCTGTAATGAGTTTGATCCTTACTGTGCCCTACCATTATAGCACTAATTTAAACTTAATGTTAAATTTCACCCAATAAAAGACTCGAGAGCCGCTCAAGGCAGAGTGTTACTGTTTAAATGTTAGTGATGGGTGTCGAGTATGATATGAACGAAGGAGGAAGTTGTATGAAAATATAAATTTATTAAGAATATATAAACACAGTTACGTTTCGTTAAAAGGGCGTGCTTTTTTTATTTTTGCACAACTAATCAAATCTTTTGTTTGTAAGGAAATAAAGAAATAAAATTAAAGTAAAAGAGAACGTCATTCCTCCTACCTACATTGCTAGAAAGCAATGATTTTGTTTAATTTTATTTTTTCAAGTTTTAAATTAAATTAATTTTTATATGTGTATTTGTTTTTCCAAATATAAATCTATTATTTTAAATTGTGTAAACGAATTTAAAATACAATGGCGAAGAGAAATATCTAGGTCAATGATTCCCAACGTGGTAATATTTTGTTAAGGCATGCGTAGGATGTGCATACTTCGGCTTACTATACCAACAGAATAAGGTGATAATTCGAGAATGAGTTATTAACAGTAAATTGCTTTCTAGTGAGTCTGAATGAGCTGTTGGTTTCTGAATCATAGGCTGTCAGTATGGCAACAATAGGATATCCATGCGCGAAACTTAGCCTTCCTTACTCAAATTATAAGCTGCTGGTACGCGGCCCATAAGCGGTCTGTACACGGCTAAGACGAGAGTGGGCAGCAAACTTGATATACTGACTAGGGAGGTGTGATGGTAGAGCTACGGAATTTTGCAGGAATTAATTTCAATTTTTCTTTTTAACATTTACATTGCTTTTTCTGTGAATTGACATCTGACTTTTCAAAGAAGATTTCAAATGTAATTACAGGGTTTCCACTAAAAAAGCGGTAAATTCAGAAAAAAATATTTAGCTATCAGGATTAATGCTTAAACTGAACAATAATCGTAGATATTTGAAATGTTTGCCGAAATATTCAACGCAAAGTGGTAAGCGTAGTCATCAGGAGGCAGTAGCTTTTCGGATAGTGTCAAGAGGATTTTCATTCCAAGCCTCAGTTGTTCCTCTTCTATAATGACAACGGTTTTCCAAGTGAGTTCGTAGTATACTCTAGATCAATAATTCCTACCGGTGGGGCATGGTAATATTTTAGTAGGGTATGCGTAGGATATGCACCCTTCGGCTTACTATATCAACAGAATAAGGGGACAATTGGAGAATGAGTTCTTAACAGTGAATTGTTTTCTAGTGAATCTGAATGAGGGTGTTAATATTAATGTGTTTCTACACACGATGCATATACAGTATGTAGACATAAAAATATCTGTAAAAGAATGACTTGTAATTATCATTGTTTTCTACTCAATTTATATTTATGTATTTAATGTAATAGAAAGCAACCATATTAATTTCGGTTCTTACTTGCTTCTTTGATAAAAAAATGGTCTGCTCTACAATGAATCTATATCGACATTGTCACGCCAACAGTTTTGCAAGTGAGTTACGAATATACTCCAGATAAAGTAATTCACAACGTTTAGATTAGGGCTTTCAGAGAGCCACTGAGATGGACCAATTACAGCTATATATATATATATATAAATATTTTGTGTGTATGTACGTACATGTGTAATTGGTATACATGTAAGAATTAAATATTACAGGGGGGGGGGACCAATTTTGGAAATACCAAAGTGGAACATGGCCCAAAATCGGTTGGGAACCATTGATCTTGGCTTAACACTTTGAGCCGTGACGACCGCTTTACCGGTGGTAGAGAAAAATGAGGTAATACCCAGCTACCGGTTGAACGGTGGGTAAACACTTGTAACTATTTTTTATATCTATCGCGAAGCATTACATACAAGTTATTTTCGAATCTTGACCCCGGAACCCAGGCAGAAGGATTAAAATTGTCCAGGAACTCAAGGCTCGAAGGGTTAATATTTGTTGATATTGTAAATACAATGTTCTTTCGACTTGAGTGTTTTTTTTCAATAGCCATCAATTTTATACATACTAAATTTCATCCAATTCTAGGATCGAAAGCAACTCAAAGTAGGGGTTGATTCATTGATTGATTTGTGATTTACGGCTTATCAACCCTTTTCAGGCTATTTAAAAAATTACCGATAAGTCCTACTAATTAACTCGTTCGTACCTTTCTCAATGGTATTTTCACTTAAATGAATATAATGTACCCTATTGAAATTCGAACACTGTTCTCCAATTTTCAATTTCCGAGACGTTATCCATTGCACCATCCAAAAATCCAAGCTTATAGACCCTGGTATTCCCAAATGGTCACACATCTTGGCACTGACCAGGCCCGACGTTGCTTAACTTCGGTGGTCGTGCAAGAACTGGTGTATGAACGTGATATAGCCGTAAGCTCATTATACCATCCCCAGATGCAAGTTTACTGCGTCTCGTATCCTCAAGCGGTCACCCATCTAGGTATTGACCAGGCTCGATGTTGCTTAACTTCAGTGGTCGTACAATAACCCGAGTATCAATGTGATATGACCGTAAGCTCATTATACCATTCTCACATCCAATTTTATTGCGCCTGGTATTCTCAAGCGGTCACCCATGTAGATACTGACCAGGATCGATGTTTCTTAACTTTGGTGGTCGTAAAAGAGCCGGTGTATCAACGTAATATAAACTTTAGCTCATTATACCATCCTCACATCCTGTTTTGCTGCGACTGGTATTCTCGCGGTAAGCCTCACTGTAAAGAGTTGCAGCCAGGAAAGTTGTGTGATATAAATGTAAAAGAATGTGGTAAAACGTGAGCATAAGAATAATAGATAGATATTTGAATCTTGACTTTAAGAAGGTTATGTTGTATTCAGAGATGTATTCACGCAGGAGTTTTCTCCATAGAATGGTAGGCCTTGGGAAAAAAACCCTAAGTGGAACGGTCTTCTTACTGTGGTAATGAGGGTGATTCGACTCCGTTGGAAATAGCATGTCATATCTTAGCCGTAAAGGTCTGAACTGGTGGATCTAAAGAATAGAGTTCATGTGAACATTCGGCATGGAAAGAATGATAGTGTAACGACAGGCTTGCAGCATTTCATTTCTTGGAAAGAGGTCGTAGAGTGGAAGATAGGTCATCCCAAGCGATTTTGAATATCCAGGTTGGTAAGTGAGAATTGAGCAACTCAGATATGGCAGTAATGATCCATTTTTAGCCTAATCTGACTATTGTTAAGATAAAGTATTACTGAAGGAGACCAGTGATTTTTAAAGCATGTTCGCCCCATGCAAAGACATAAGGGGTTACTTGATGTGGAATTATTAGAAACAGAAACATTACCAAAGAGCGAGAACAAAGGAAGGGTAATCGAGAGGAGAGCAGATAACGATTTATATTGCATTTAAATTTTTGCATATTAAAGTTGGCTGGGAAACATGGAGCCGGAAGAGAGTTTCACAAGCAAGAAGTGCGAGAAAATAAACTGTTAGCATAGAACTTACGGTTACATCTGGCCAACTCAACTGTCGATGAATTGATGAGACCTTATCGTCAGTCTTGTACTGCTCTTAAATTCATGAAGTCTAGGTACCATAGCTAAGAGCGATATTTATTTTGTAGTCAATATAAAAATGTGGCACAAGGCCAAAAGGGGTGATGGAGAAAAAGGATGGTCTTCTTTTGTCTTAAAATTAAAACTTAGCTAGTAACAGCCACTGTCGATATTCAGTCACCCCCCCCGCCACGAGGGTGTCATGTGGCACAAGGCCTTTTTAACGTGGGCAGTCCGAGCCCGTAGGCTCGGCCAAAAATATGCCCATTGAACCCGTATAAACGGGTTCAGGGCCGGTTTTACCTCCCCGAAAGAGACGCCGCCCTTCGGCGTAGCCTCCTTCGGGTTCCTCCCGTCCGTAGAAAGAGAGTTCAACCGAACAGTCGCTCAGAAAGTACTGGGTCGACTGACTTACAACCACTGACCCAAACATACTAGAATATTCTTTACACCAAAACAACGCATTCTTACTACAGATACCATAATACCTCAATGTCTCTATGAAGTCCTAACTACTCGCTATATGTACAATTCTTTTCTGTTGGAGAGGAGGAATAAAGCAACAAATTTAAAAATCTAAGCCCCAATGTGCATTTAACAATAACCATGAAGGTATTTATAGAAAAGACAACTTTATATCGCTGAGAAACTGATTGAAGCCCAGACGCCAGATCAGGATCAAAAATATTGCTTCGGATTTTATCAAGGATCTCTAGATATAAAGCAGTGGCTCCAGACCATATGTAGCAGCAACATTCTAAGGAATGACGAGTCGTAGACTTATAGATATGCAAGATAGATTCAGGAGAGAAAAATTGTCTAGCCCGACACAGTGAAGCAACTTTCTTAGCAGCTGATCTATCTATGAATTTAATATAGTCTTTCCACCTCGTGACAGCAGGGAAGGTTAGCCCTAGAAGGCGCAATGAGTCACTCGCTGTTATTTAGTGGTTTCACAGTGGAGGCTTGTATTTGTACTAAGTCGGTCCTAAAATAGGTTCGACGTACAAAACGTTAGGAACTTGATATAATAGGTAATGACGCAGATTAATCTAGTTGCGTTCGCTGATACTTTAGTATCCGACTAACGGTCGTCCGACATCGACTGACTGACCAACTCACTCTGAGAGACTGCTACTACTACTCATACTTATTATAGGTGGGAGAGTCTATTAACTATAGAATAGGTGTGTTCCATTATAACACTCGCCTAGAAGTTAGTATCATCCATGTTGATCGGAGGCAGAAACGGATTTCTCAGATGATTAATAGAGAGTAGTTTAGTTTTGGAGGCGTTAAAAATGACAAGTCATTCCTTGCTCCAGTTAACAACAGACTGAAGGTCAATACTTACTGAAGAATATTGAGTTTGACCTTTTATCAAATTTCATTTTGGTAGAAGGATATTTATTGCCGCAAATGATAAGACAAAACTGAATCTCTGTGGAAAAGAGACAGTAGTGCCGGGGAGGTAATTAGTATTCAGCTTATTCGAAGCCTTCGAGCACAAAACGGAAACATATTTCACCAAAGAGGAAAATATTTATATGAATGGAAAAGATAACGAAATACAAGGCATTTAAAAAGAAATAACAAAATAAATTTCATTTGTTTGACTGAATATATAAATGAAAAAAAAAAGAGCAAAATATTGATAAAACGTAAAAATTCTATTTAAATACCCGTAAAGAGTTTGCTCTCTAATCTTGATTGGCAGCCAGTCTATTAGAAAGACTACACAGTGGAGGTAATAAGCAAATAAACTACCCTATATTTACCAAGAATTTTTATTTTTTTATTTTTTTATTACTGGACATACAAGAAAATGAATCTGGGGAGAGCCATGATCGTTTACTTTCTGAAGAGACATAATATTAACCCTCATCTCCCCAAATTAACTAGTTTCCACAGTCCTCCTCCAAGCACTTTTCTTGCGCGTGCATACTGCGAAAAAAAAAAAAAAAAAAAAAAAGCACCGGTGACTTTTGTTGAAAATACCCGAAACATTTGGTTAGCAACACACACACACGCGGGCGCGCATCCCCCCACATGATATAACGATATATATTATTATATATCAAGAACTGTATTGGCAAAATGGAAAAAGTTTTGTTGAAACGAGTCACAAGTAAACTTTTCCATTTTGTTTTACAATTTCCCCAATGGATAACTTATCTAAATGACGAAAAAATGAAAATAACCCTAATATCTCATTTTTACAGATATATTTACCAAAATTACACAAAAATATCCTGAAATGCTAAAGAATAAATTCATTCAATAAAATCGCCATTGGCTTCAACCACGGCCTTCAGACGACTTCGGAATCTCCTGCAACTCTTCTGGACGGTCTCTTTGTTTAAGTTGGCGAATATTGCCATAATCTATGCCTTCAGTTTAATGCTACAAGCAGTTTTGTGGGTATCTCGATTAACTGCGCTCCCACACATAATAATCAAGAGGGTTTCAGTCTGGGAGTTAGGTGGCCAGATGAAAGGGAAGATGTGGTCGCAGAAATTGTCTGACAGGCATGACAGTATTCTCCTGCTTGTGTGGCATGGTGCAGAGTCCTGTTGCCAGACATAGGGTCTTCCAGCAGCCACCCTCTTGACCCAGGGCAGCACTAACTTCTCAAGGCACTTGGTGTAGGCCTCCGTGTTGAGTCTGAGGCTTTCACCAACAAATCTGGGAGTTCTTTTCTTATCAGAACGATCAAAGTGAGTTTCCGAGCTGCCCTACCTTCGTAGTCACCATTAGACTCATCCAACTCTTTTCGAATTGTCTGCATTGTCCTCAGATTGACACCCAAACACTCTGAAATGATCGTAATGGAGTTTCCGGTGCGAATGCCAAGCAGTTCAGTATGTTGTTTCCAAATTTCTGGCGGAGTAAATTGCGTCATGGTGCTCCTTTTCTCACAGACGGTGCCCAACTGACTCTAGTATGCAAGGCAGTCGACAAAGACCCCTCCCAAAAAAACAAAAACAAAATGCATGCGCGAAATTAGGAATATAAAATCGCAACAATTTACCTATCGCACCCTGTAAATGGTTCGCTATTGAGAGAGCAGAAAATATCAACGGAATGTTTGCATGTAAAAATATATGGAACGATATATGAAATATATGTAGGTGACATCCGGGACAAAAAACAAAAGAAATTATGCGTTCCTCATATTTAAGGCGAAAACCATGGCGACACATGATAAAAATAGTACCTGGCATGAAGATCCTTTATTTTCGTGGGTGAAACTTGAGTAGCCTAGGTTTTAATTTTGTATTCATCATTTACCTTACGTCTTATAGGCTTTACATTGTATTGAGCACTTTGTGTTTCGTTATATATATATATATACCGGGTGTTACAGTAAAATTGTCCAAATCGTGCAAAAGCAACATTCTCCAACTGTTAGATTAAGTTTGAACCGTTATATCTTAGAAATGATTAAAGATATCTTACTGGAATTCTACGAGGTTCTTATAAGACTATTGGATACTATTTTGAACAATAAGAATGCATTTAACTCTAACTTGAAATGATGATCCATGTAGCTGATGTAACCTCCTAATCCAGTTTTCCTCTCTACAGCACACTCTTTTATAAACTTAATCACCGTTCTTTTGATGGTTTTTGAATGAACTTTGAAAACAGAAGCTAGAATTTGAATGTAGATACCATTACTGAAGGCCTGAATGATCTTTTGCCTCTCACCACTGCTCAGTTCTCTTTCTAGCTGAATAACTCAAATGGTTTTCAGCGATTCTTACGACAAATGGGGTCAAGATAGCCAAACGTCTTAACTGAAAACCTGGAAAAAGAAACTCAGTTAGCTTAACGTTTTTTTTTTTTTTTTTT